GCTGTTTCTTTCTAAGAGCCTCCTCCTGAATTCTTGGCATTGGATTTCTCTGGGATTCAGGGTTGCAGACCTTACACTTTCATTACCCTATAGTTAAGCTTCAGCTTCCTTTCTTCTGAACAATGCTATAAATTGAAGTACAAGCTAGGTAACATAGAAGTCATTAGTAATTAAAAAGTGTCATCAGTGCAGTAGGACACGTGATGCAGTACCATATACCAAAATGGTACTCAGACATTGTGAAAACGGTCCTAAACCAACAGCTGCATACTGTAGATAGAAAGTAACCGCAGGGAATCCCAAAGTGGGCTGTAACCATTCCCACCCCTCCTACCCCACCCCCCAAAAGCCCCCCTCTCCCTGGATCCAGAGAGAGCTGAACGGTTTTCCCAGGACTGCAGAGACGTCAACTCGGCCTCCGAAAAGAACCTGAAGTCTGGGGACTTCAGGGACTTCAGCCAGGCCGCTAGTCCGTCGCCCTAGAACAAGGGTTTTTTCTCCTTTGGCAGCCCCGTTCACTGTGTTCTACCACTACGAGGCCCCAAGTCTAAAAGGGTATATTAGAAGTGGCAGGCCTGCTGTGAGGAGCAGGAAGAAGGCACAGCTATTCAGAGCGGACAGGAAAAAGCAGGCAACCGTGCTGAGAGAGGCACTGGGAGAGGAATGGAGGACACCTATAGAGAAGAGTCGGCCATGCTGGCAGGGGCGTTTAGAGTGGAAGTGGGGGACAGGAGGAAAGTGGCGGCCATGCTGGGAGGGGCGTTGGAGCGGAAGTGGGGACAGCCACGGGGGGGACAGGAAGAAAGTGGCAGTGATGCTGGGAGGGCCCTCTGGGCAGAAAAGTGCAAGGAGGGGCCCGGGACAACGGGCAGGCATGTTAGGGGCGATTCCCGGAGGCGGGGGCGTCTACGGATGATGCCGGTCTCTCACTGCGCAGCGGCCACTTTGACCCTCTCCATTGCTGGCCGTTTTCGGGCGGGGCCAACACAACCCGCCCACTTTGTGGGAGAGGCGCGGGCTGCCGTCAGCCCAGGCCCGGGGGCGGCGAGCGCGGGTGGGGC